CGGCAAGACAGGCCCAATTTCTTAGTATTTCGACGTTTCCAATCTTCACCATACACACCAATACCTATGTCCTACATCAGCGTTTATCAACCTTTTTTTTATCAAAGTCACGACACCCTTTTAAGAATTAAATAGTTTCGCGTCACCCCAATTCCAAATTTATTACTGAAGATTTATTTTGTATCACTCTGGCACTCGTCAAATGTCATGTTTATATATACGGGCAAATTTGTATCTAATTTTGCGAGCGAGCAAAAAATAATGACATAATAGGGGCGTTCACACCTACAAACCGTCGAGTGAGTATTCTCCCTGTGTGTGAAAGGTCGCCAAAAAAAAAATCAATCTTTGCATCGCGATCTGATTCGCACTATTAAATTGACATGTGTGAAAGGTCGCAAACAAAAATCGATCTTTGCATCACGATCCAATTCTACCCAATTTTTATGTGTGAACGGGCCTATTGTTAATCAGATTTCAGAGTTGGGGGAAAATTTTAGCAGCTTATTATTTCTTCATTATGACGTCTCTAGAGAATACACGTGTTTGATCATGAGTTGGATTATATTATAATATTTGTAGGCGATGATCATACGTTAACAAAGGGCAAACAATTACGATGGGGGAAATTTGGAAGTAATTAAATTAGAAGGCTAGCCTTATAAATATCTCTCGACCAGCGAGGGAATCAGGCTTCCAATTATCGAGTAACAAATTCGCATAAGATAGTTGACATTTCCAGCGTCGGACTGCAACAATCGATGAGGTTACACGATCCATTTCACCATATTCACGGGCTCAATAATTTCATTTTAATTCTCAGTCGTTAGGACGCCTTTTTGAAAGGATTTGCATTACTTTTCAATAGTCGAATTGGATTATAACGGAATAGTCGTGATATACTCTGGTATCGCTCGTGGTGACATGAACATGATTTTATTAAAATCACAATAGAATGTTACCGCGATGATGATACCCATATTAAAAACATTAAATCGTCTGTAGCAGCGACATGGATCTAATGGAAGTTTCAAAGATGCCTGTCGGTGTAAGTATTGGTGCTCCATTCTTATTGTTCATTTTGAGTTTTTGTATCAATATTTCTAAGCTATAAAAACCCAAGAACAATGTTCTCCTGCCTACCCTAGTATCTGTTGTGAGATATAGTTTGATAATAAACTTTCTGAGTGTGTATTTCAGGATTGTTTAAATACACAATATTCTGATTACTGCAAATCGAACGACACATGGGGACGATAGCTTTTAATTCGCAACCATCAATAGATCTGAACGGTGTTACTGAAAAACTGTTCTCATTTTAAGAAAAGAAAAACAGTTTGACAGTTTTCAAACTATAATGTTTATGTGTTCCTTGTGACAAAAATTATTTTGCAACCTTTAATAAATCGTTTTAATCTACCGGTCATTCTTTAACTCATGACTGCAATTCCAAATGTGTGGACATTCCACTATTAAGGAAAGGTGAGACAACATGGAACATTATGAGGGATTGATCTTCACAATCATTCAATATGTTATAATTCATTTAATTATTCATACAAAAATTTATTATTTGAAACATCTTAAATGAACGTTACCCCTTTACATCTGGGACATCTTGTACAAAGTTGTAATTCTGCGTAGTCTTCCAGGCTTGGATTTCGAGGTCGGTAAAAGATTCTCTTCCCCAAAATTTACTTATCGATTTGTCTCAAGACGGGAATTAGATATTTCACAATATTCTAATATTACTTTGTGTCATATATTTTAGACGTGAAATTTATGACTGTCTTTGATATGAGACACATCAGACACAAAATGAACAACATGTAACGCATGTCGTCAATACCGCATTGGAATCATTTTTTGTTCGCGTATTTTCATCTCTTTCTTTTCTTTCCCAGATGTGGTATATAATTTGCATCCTAATAGTGTTACATCAGCAAATGCTCCTAACCCTCCAACAAGGCGAAAGTAAGTATTCAATCTTCTCTTTAACTATTGGTAGAAAACGCGCTCCATCACTATATCCAACAAAGCGACCAAGGATATTAAAGTTTCAGCTCGAAATTCTTACTTTGAAATTAAGATAGCCAGTCTTTTTTAACGACAAAGGTTGTTGTAAACACTCCTTCCTGGCAAAGATTAAGAACCTTGTCAGACTAATTTCCTTTGTTAAAACCGATTCTAAACAAAAACCTAAACCACAGCGTCGAATTCAAATTGTTAGTAGAATACGTGCAAAAGAGTGTCTGAAAACATATTACATATGTAGCAGCAAATAGTATATGTAAATATGAAGTATCAGTAGGAAACTCTGCCTTTAACCTCATTTATTTAATGTTAAAGTCAACATAAAGGTAATTTTTTATTCCAATTTCTAACTGTTGCTGTAAATTATTGTGTGTCGGTTTTTATTCTGATAATTATTTTGTGCTTATGGTATAGACTTCGTGAATAAAAACACAATATCGTGGCTATGCTTGAGTGCTTTAACTATGTTTAAATATAACAATAAACAAACAAAAGCAAAATAAAAGAAAATATACCAAACAACAAAATTTTTTTTTATAAAAATAAGAAATTGTACCATCGCACATGAATCTGGTGTTGATACATTGCAAAATAGTTTGTTGTTGTGACGTCATCAAAATTAGCCCCAAAAGTTCAAGGCACAAGTGATTGGGGTCTTAATTATAGCTATAGTGAATATACTTCAATACGTACATTTCATCAACCCACAGCAGCTCAGGGTTTACTTAAGGTCTAAATGAATCAGCTTTCCTCAACAAATTGGCAACAATTATTAGTATTCTCCACTCTTTCATAGAAAAAGAAAAATGTATGTTATATGAATAGTATATATACATATTATATGAAACAGTGAGAATGAAAACAAAATTAAATAAAAAGGAATTGCCAATTCGTAAAAGGAAATGTGATTATTACTTTTATTCTGCAGCGCCAATGTATAGAGACATGATTTATTATTTTCGATTAAACCACTCTTATTTATGAACGTCACAATGTACTGCAAAGAAAAAGGAGGAATCAAATTTCCAGCGACTTTTGTACTTTCTGGTTATTTACAATTTATAAATCAGTGCACTCTGGGTGAAAAGATTTTTTTTAAACGTCGTTAAATGATATAAATAAACTGGTATGATTGGGTTAAATTGTGTACTTTGATTAATATTGAAAGAGTAGGCGCATACCTACTTGCAGGAGCGAATAGAGGACCGACAAGTGGGATGGGGACTCGACCCTCTCCAGATCACCTCAGTAGGAGGGGGGGGGGTGCAGTAGTGAAAAAGGATTCCAACCCCACCCTAAAAAAAAATGATCAATAATATCTTTCCCCAAAGGAATCCAACCAAACCTTTCAAGGGTCCCGTCAGCCAGTGGCGGGTCGAGGCAAGGGGGGGGGGGGAGCTCGGGAAGCCCGGCCCCCTCCCTCGGCCAAACAAAAATTAAAAAATAAGTGCTCACTACCCCCCCCCCCCACCCCCCAATTATTCGGCCGGTCGGCTGAGTCGCCGCTAAATATTTTCTCGGTCCCTGTCGTCAGCCCCTTTTTCATTTCTAAGAGGATGTTTTCTTGGTTTAGTTTTCTTTCTCAATAGGTGCGGAGGGGCTTTTCGCCCACTCGACCCTCCTTTTATCACATGGGTTTATATCACTACGCACTGTATGTGTTATTTTAAATTCAATTTAATGATTAAAATCCAGGTAAAAAGGATCATTGTGAATTATCAGTTCACAAATGAGAATAAATATTAGACTTTAAAGGTAAAGACCAGTCTTGGAAACGCCCCAATTTCAAAAAATGAAATGGAAGCTCTTATTACCAATCATGGGAAAAAGTATATTTTGACTAATACATGATGATAAAAATTTTGCCTGGAAAACGCCTACTAATTGATATATTTGGTAAATTAGTTTATCTATTGGTGTGTGAGAGATAAACGCACGTGTCGAGCACGAGTCCCATATACAACTTTCTGTGTACAGTGCTCGTAACTTTACGAAGACTGGGCCAAATTTCTTATCATTTTGATGATTCCAGAACCTTGCAGTACAAACCAATACTTATATGCTAGATGATCAACCTTTTCTGATCGATTCCACAACGTTTCTTTCGCAATGCAATCGACTGGTCTTTATCTTTAACTGTATATTATCTAAATATTTTAAAATATTGTTAAAGTTGCCAACAGTTTAAGTTTCGATCTTGCTTTAGTGAGGCGTGTTTGGTTTTTGTTAAAAGTCAGATCTTCTACAATGGCAAAATTTGTTCTTTTCAATTATCGCCAGTTCTTTATTATTTCATAGTGCTTTATGTACGATTTGAACTTTATGATGACACCACGATGTAGCCTAGTGCGTCATCTATTATAATGTGCGAACATATTAGTGACAGTACAATAGGGTATTGAAATCACCCGTATGGATTCCTTGAAAGCATTATGTGATCGTGTTGTATAACATCGGTCGTATGACCGAATGCTCCTGTGACAAAACTCCGTATTCAATTTCCTGCACTAACCAAATCCCTAGCTTTGCATATGGTGTTATTATTCATGAATATGTCATACAAATGTGCAATTCACACCTCGACTTCATCGCCCCTTATTTCTTAATATTTAAGTTGCATATTGTTATCTGCAATTTCTGGGGTGTTGTCCAGCGGTTGGTAGTCTTGTGTTTATGTCCAGAGGGTAGTCATCTTGGGCGTTTGTCCAGCAGATGGTTATATCGAATGTGTTTCAAGTTGGCAGTGATTCTGACATGTATAAGTATAATTATGTCAAATGGCCTACACTTCAAGCTTGAAATATGTAAGCGATTGACACAGTAAATTATAATTTGGTCTGTGAATCGGTCGTTGCATAAGACTAATTGCTTTTTTTCGGGGGAAAGGGGGAGCAAATTGTTATTCAGAATAAAACACATATTACTTTAGCAAGCTCTATTGAAATATTACTCTGTGTTTTCTCCAGGCACACCAACATGCCAGGAAGATCCTACAGGAGTGCAATACAGAGGAGACTTAGCTCAGACAATCAACGGTCGTACTTGTCAAGCATGGACCTCTCAGGAACCCCATGCACACAGTAGGACTCCAGCTAACTATCCTAACGCGGGACTAGACGGCAACTATTGCAGAAACCCAGATAATGAAGACACTGCTTGGTGTTACACCACCAATTCTAGGATAAGATGGGAGCTTTGTGCTGTAGGTTTCCTTGACCCGAGATGCCAAGGTAGCGTTGTAGTGCGCTGCTCAAAATTACTTAATATCAAGATAAATGCATATACAATTATTTTACATCGACAGGAGAAAAGAAACGAATGATGCTATATTGTGGTTCTTGGGAAGCATTCAAACCTAATGAGTAAAAATCCCACTGCACTTAAACTCTTAAACTTCTGAAGGGGTTCAAGCGCCTATTGTTATATCATTTCCCTCATGATCTGATGCTTTTCCCCCTTCGTTTTTAACAAATAATAATTAGTTGTTTGCTTTGATAGAATTACCTGTCAGCATTGGTAACATTGACCGTGCTAGTTTTAATGTTTGGGTACCGTATCGCCCATTGAAATTTTTCCAAGAGCGGCAATCGTAACGTTTCAAAAACGTAACATTTTTACTATTTTTTCGGTAACCTTATCTTACGTGAATGAGCTTTTGGGAACAATGCTGAAAGCCAATGATAGGTATTTCTCCTTCCGTCTATTGAAATTGGTTGGTTGTTCATCATGAGTATTTCATTCAAACTTACATTACACTGTTCAATTTAATCTCCCCTTCTTCATTCATAATTGTGTTCGTTGTTATTCATAGTTTCTTCTTGTAATAATTGTTTTTAACAGAAACAACTCCGATTCCTACTACTATGACCGTACCTACGACAGCGATGCAGACATCGGCTCCAGTCACATGTGCTGGTAAACATTGATTTTGTCTTTGTCTTTGTTGCTGTTGTTGGTGTTCTATGTTTCTTTTAATTTTGTTTCGTAGAGGGGGCGAATATGTGTTTAGATGATAATCATGCTCTACGTTTCACGTTTATTCATTTGTCGGTTACAACATCTTGCCTGTATATAATTATATTCAAAGACGATATGACGTCAATGGTTTTGTAACCTCAAAAACTAAATGAATTTAAGCACAGAAGAAAATGTGCTGGTTAATACCAAGGTAATCAACAGTAGGCCTAGATTTTTTATAATAAAAGTAGCACTCTAAGAATTTTAAAAAATATAATTGCTAAGTTAAAGGCCACCCATACAAAGATAATTGAATCAACTACATAACGTTAAGTAGGTCTGAATATGTACAAGAACAAGTTACAATTCAAAATTCCTCCCCTGCTCTGATGTCTCCCATATTTCAATATGTTGTAGCTGAGAATTTACTCTACAAATTATTTACTATTCAATTTTGATCAGAAGACGGGATCGTGGACAAAGTTTGGATTTAAGTTGACGAATTCAAAATCTGTTATTAGGGTTTCTACTTTACGTGTTTAAGGGTCAGAAATAAACTTCTCAGAAATATTTGAGTTTTACAAAATCCGATTCCTTCATGTTGGGATTTAAGTCAATTAATTGAATTTGGATTTAAGTTGAATTACGTGCGAAGTATGGATACCTAGGAATTCGCATATTTAAAAGTATTCCATCCCTTCAATTACTAACTACAGTCATTGTTTTGTTTTTACAGCATGTCCGTATGACACAGAACGACATGGGGAGTCATGCTACTATTTCAGTCCCTCTTCGACGACACGCCCTCAAGCGTATTCCTTCTGTTCCAGATACGGTTTCCATCTGGTTTACATCGAGACAGCAGAGGAACAGGACTTCATCGCAGGTCGCATGAAGGAGAACAACGTTGGAGATTACTGGATCGGACTAACGGTGGACTCTGATGGCCAGGGTGTGTGGCTGGACGGGTCTAGTCTCACTTATGATAACACAGAAAGTAATTCTTACAACGATGGATCCGAGTGTTTCCGTATGGTAGCATCGTATGGATACACGTGGCATGATAGAGAATGCTCCTATAATTTTAGATATGTTTGCGAGAAAGAAAATGGTGATTATTTCATTTTTATCTGTTTTTTAAATGGTTTAATGCAGAAGAGCATGACAGTGATAGTTGTGGCATGACAGTAAGTGCTTAACAACTTTAAAATATTTTTGGAAAAGGAAAGGGTGATTTATGCATGTTTATTTCATTTTTATATCGGTTTAATGCCATGCTTTTTTAATAGACTACTCCACTATGTTTTACCACTGTGCCAATCTTAAATAATTTATTTAAACAATTGTATAATCATTTGTAAAATATTTGGTTAATATTATATCAACTGAATTTGTATATTGTTTATTCATTTGATTATGTTATATCATGTGGAAAATAAAGAAAACCTTGAAACCTTAACAGCATCACCTCTATACATGTGGCATATTAAACAGAGATTGCAAAAAAAAGTTAGATATATAAAGAATAGGTTATTATATCGCTTTTTATTTGATGTTTATATTGGTTAATCTGGACAGACCCATGAAATTGTCAAGGTGGCCAATGCAGAGAAAAGAATACCCAATCGGAATCAGGTCTTTCCTTTGAGCATGCCATTTAGTTTTTGAAGGAAGACACCTGTCGTCTTGACCATCCACCCCTACCCCCTAAAAAACACAAGATAATTCGCATCCACTGTTAGCTGGTGTATTATCGTAAAAAATGATATAGAACATTCAATGAAAAGTCAAACAATTCTTTGGAAAACTTTTAATCCAATTAAAAGGAATTCAATTCCAACGCATTTTCCATTCAATGGTTGCATAATAAAATAACAGAAATGGGCCTACTACTCTTCAATATACAATTAATATGCATAATGGCGTTATGTTAAATTTCAGTGCACACCTACATAACAATTTGTTTGTCATATTAAACGTTCTTTTAACAATCTTGTTTCAATACAGACTGTTCAACAAAGACCACAATGGCAACAACTGAACTGGTAACGACAACAGCTACAACAACAACACACCAACCATCGACAAAAACACTTACGACAACTACAAACCCAACCACTACTAAACCTACAACACAACCATCTACAACGACAACTACACAATCAACCACTACCAAATCTACTACAACAACGATGCCAACTACAATAACAGCGACGACAACTACACAACCAACCACTACTTTACCTACAACACAACCATCTACAACAGCAGTTACAACAACTACACGATCAACCACTACCAATCCTACTGCAACAACATCTACATCAACAGCTACAACAACTACACAACCATCAACCACTAAACCTACAACACGACAATCAACAACAACAGCCACAACAACCACTAAACCTACAACACGACAATCTACAATAATAGCTAAAACTACACAACCAACCACTACTAAACCTACAACACGGCCATCTACAACAACAGCTACAACAACTACACAATCAACCACTACCAAATCTACTACAACAACGATGCCAACTACAATAACAGCTACAACAACTACACAACCAACCACTAATAAACCTACAACACGACCATCTACAACAAAAGTTACAACAACTACACGACCAACAACCACTAAACCTACAACACAACCATCTACAACAACAGCTACAACAACTACACAACCAACCACTACTAAACCTACAACACAACAATCTACAACAACATCTGCAACTACTACCACCACGACGGCATCCCCCAAAGGTAATGGGTCAATATTATACGAGACTTGAGTACTATAAACTAAAATGTATAGGTACAAAATATACACGTACACAGTATCCTCCAGATATCTGATTTTACTGTTCATATATGGAGATTCATCTTGTTTTGTATACTTAATAAAGTGTAAATTAATGTTATCATCAACATTTCGTGCCTGAGTACAATCCCTGGAGGATTTTTTTAATTGGATTTCGGAATTATGGACATATTTTTTTTTTTAATAGTATATATACGCACCTGTATTTAGTGCTCTTTTATCGGGTGCTGAAATAACGAGATATAAAAGAACATATTAGATGGCTCCTTTTTCTCTTAAAAAAAAAAATGTTTTCCAACATCTGTGAGAATATAGCGATATTAGTAATGAAATTACTACATCATGAAAATGGGGCAATTAATGGGCAATATTGTGATGATGCCTCTTTTCTTTTTCTTCTTTTTGTTTTAGTTTTTACGAGAATTTACGTCTCTAGTTAATATTTGCTATAATTTAAAGGGGATATAGCATGGCAAATACTGGTTGGCGCTATCTCCGACTTCTTTTGAACAACTGCACGTAAACGAATGGACTCGATTAACGGTCAGCGCGCTAGCGTTCGCGAAACAGACCGAAGTTCTCCTCACGCTTCGGTTTCGCGTATGTTGCCCGCACTTGAATAGTCGTAGTCGTATCGTACCCGATTGGCCCCGAGTCAGGCCACGGGAAAGACACGTAGTCTCGTCATGCTACACCCCCTTTAATATTTGCGTGATCTTTTTTTGTACAATTTAAGGTGATTCTACATTTTTCTACTCCGGTAAGAGTTGCCGCCCTTATATTGTCGAAGATATATAGTAAAGGTTAGGATTGCTATTCAGTTTTGGGTCAGGATTAGGGTTAGAGTTAGGATCAAGTATAGTGCTTAGCCCAGGGTTAGAAATTATGTTCGTGTAGAGAATTGAATGCGTTGTAATATTTATTGTCACCGGATCGCGTATTAGACAATCCAAATAAAAGTGCATTCTGTTATCCAATTTTATTTGAAGCTCGCCAAAGGTCGAACCAGTATAAAATCATCGCCCAGAATAGAGCTATTATGGATTCGTCCGTGGTCAAGCGAGACTCCATGTCGACGTTGATACGGTGTACGGCCCTGTGTTTGGCTACAGACTCCTGCTCGCGCTTTACCTTCAGTGCTGACAATGGAGATTGTCTACTAGGAGGCGTTGCACCAAACGAAGAGCATGATTTTGAGATACGCCCTGGAGCCCAAACATTTGAGGTCATTTGAGGAACCCGTAGATTACAAAAGGCATCCAGATATCTATCGAAGAAAGGAATATCTTACATAAAACTAGCCTAAAAAATCCCAGTGATTATAAAATTAGTACTTTCGAGAACTATAGCTGACTACAATTAAACTGCTTTCATGTAAACTGTACTTCTCCAAACAGCTAGAAAATGCACATGGAAATATGACGTCTACATGCAGAGTTATTAATCACATACTCTCTAAACAAGACAGATCCCCCAGAGTACAAACCATTTTCTCTAATTACCATGAATTGGATAACGTCAAAGATATTGCAAACGGTTTTGATAGATATTTTGCTTACATAGGTCCAAAGCGAGCAATTAAGATAGATCTACAAGGTTACGATTAAAACCCAAAAATCTTCCCAACTACAAAAACTAGTCAGTCTTCTTAAAACCTACCGATCGTCTTAAAATACTACTCATAGTGAACTCGTAACCCCATTCATCTGGACATGAAGAAATTAGCACCAGAAAATAAATGGTAGCATTTCAGCCCCCCTTGTGTTAATGTTTAATCCTCAATTAACAACTGATATATTACCAATTTTTTTTTAAACAGCAAAAGTAATACCGATATATAAAAAAAATCTACGTCACCGAATTTCCACTTTGTCAAGCTTTTCCAAAATACTTGAACGAATTTTTACAACAGAATGTATGAATTTTCGACGAATAATGACCTCCTTAATCCAAATCAGTTTGGCTTCAGGAAGTCATATTCAACTGAACTTGCATTAGTACAATCGATGACAGAGTTTCGAATGCCTTAGCTGATCATAAACTTGTCATTGGCGTCTTTATGGATTTGAGCAAGGCATTCGACAACCTTGATCACTCTATTCTTTTGAAAAAACGAAAGTGTTATGTTAGAGGAATATCCTTAAATTAGTTTGAGAGCTACTTGTCAAACGGGAAACGGTTCACCTCTTATAATATGTCTATTCTGAAATATTAGATATTAATTGTGAAGTCCCACAGGGCTCAATATTAGACTCGTCTATGTTTTAAATTCATATCAATGATATTTCTAATTCGTTACTGTCTTAACATAGTTATGATGTTTGCTGATGACACAAATTTATTCGTTTCCCATTCCAATTTACATGTTCGAATCGACACTCTGAACACAGAACTGCCAAAACTCGCCAAATGATTTCGATGTAATACTCTCTTTGAATCTTAAGAAGACAAACTATACTTTCGAACCCATAATAAACCAGTACAATTTGATATACCACTGAAAATAGATCTTCCTGTGATCGAGCAGAAAGCCAATACTAAATTAATACTGTTAAAGTTTATATTTACGAACTTTTAAATTGGTTTGACCATGTCAAATATAGTACATTTAAAACCATTTCACGCAATGTTGGTGTTCTGCCTAGATTGACACATTACCTACCATTAAACGTTTTATTCATACTGAATAATACTATGTTACTACCGTATATAACATAATGTAAATTAATATGGGCGAATTTCAAATGCCTGAACGATTAATTTCTTTTAGTTTGCATTCAAAGTAGCAGTAAAAAGAATGCTGTTCTCCCAAAATGCTGTTTATGTCTGCTGTATTAGCAATGATATGTGCAATTATCTGTAACTCCTTCCCACTTCATACCTCCCCCCCTCTCTCTCTCTCTCTCTCTCTCTCTCTCTTTCTCTTTCTCTCTCTCTCTCTCCTGACCACTCTTCAGTCTCTTCGCTTTACTTTTGCATCACCAGGAACCCCCTGATGTATATATTTTACTTTTACATACATGTATTTAATTGTCAGGGTTTATAAGGTATTAAGCTTCGCTTATCTTGTTTAAAATAAGGTTTATATTTAGTCATGTAGGTTTTAACGATACTGATTTTATTATATATTTAGAACTGAAAAATAAATGAAATGAAATCGTATATTGAGTTGAGTTATGTTGAGTTCATTTGTTTCACATTTCACATGCAGATGTAATACGTATAACAAAATATGCATAAAAACATATTGTCTAATAATTTAAAAAAATGATTATAGTAATTGAGAAATTATATATCACCAAATATGTTTGACAACTATTATCAAGTTCAAGGAAACCCAGACAAGAGAAGTACAAAACCTATAGAATGAGTTAATGAGTAAAGCAAATATTGTAATCATCGGCAAAAAGGATAAATTACTAAATGGGAGAGATGTATGGAAATCATTAATGTAAGGTAAAACAAAAGCGGTCCAATGAGGGATCCTTGCGGGACACCACAAGTGATTTAGTAGAGGTGTCGTTCATCTCGGTAAATCGAACTCAACCGGACTTTTGAACATACAAACAAACAATCACGGTTTTATAGTCTTTTACATTGTTTTTTTTTAATTCTGACTAAGTCTACTTTTTACATTCACACATCGGAATGAACACAAATAGAAAATTCGGAAAATGGAATGCGAATTCACACGGCCACTGACTATATGGGGAGAATGCGGGACGTCGCCCATGCATCTTATAATAGGGACTTTTAGATTTGCACAACGCCAACGTGGATTGCTACGATCGACGTCCTTTTAATGCACTGCCTTGAATGGACGTAACACGTATCAGTCCACGCAAATCTAAAAGTCCGTAATCTCGTCCTTTACACCTCCTCCCTTTTCTCGTTCTCTCTTTTCTCGCTTTTTCTTTCTTCTACTTTGTTTTGTTTCCACCACTCCAGGCTCCACTGTAGCTTAATCTATGGTCACAAATCAGAGCAGCGACCGACCGATCAGTAGCCTGCTTGGTCGTTGCTGGAATTAGGCATCGCCCAGCGATTAGGTCGATGCCCGGGCGGCGACCGCCCAGGCACCGAGCGTATTTTGGGCGGCGAGTGAAAAGTGAGCAGGCGCCGCCCAAATTTTAACTCCGCGCTAAAACTTCAGCGGCGACCGAGCGATGCCCTAAAAACGAGCGGTGCCTGGGCGGGCGGCCGCCGCCGGCCAGAATTGGTTAAAAACTCGCCGCTCGGTCGCCGAGCAGGCTACTTTTGGGTAATGTGACCATAGCATTAGCCACTGACTACCATAACCAGAATCGGATACATAAGAATCCTTTACCTTGTACAATATAACTACGTCTATATTACAAGCCCTCATGATAAAAAAGAAAACTACAGAGAAATTCTGTCCTCCTACGTACCTACCACAACCTGGAGTTTCTTCGAAAGAGGAATCAAACCTCTTTATTTTGTCTTACATTCGATTTTTCAAATTCATAATGAAGGTGTCTACCGCAGGTTAGGAAGTAACTTTCATATGCAATCGCAATCATGTCCCATTCTCCCGCCCTACCCCCTCTCTCTCCCTCTCTCTCCCTCATCCCTTTCTCTCTCTTTGTACAATGCTAACACCACTGTATTGTGCTGTCTTCTCTCTGTATAATTATCTGTCATCAAATTAAGGGTATTCTCTGATTCTCGGCTGATTCTGAGGGAAAATGGGGACTTGTATCATGAATTTGCTTTCAATCGTTTTTCATCTATTTAAAGATAACCGTTTACGTTTGTAAACCACAACTTCCATGCCACCATGTTTGTTGAGCCCCATTATTTATGTGTATAATGCCTACGACTAAGCCAATTTTCTAGCATTTCGAGGATTCTAAACATCACAATAAACACATAGGCCCGAATTTACAAAGGAGGTTTGTCGACAAACCTTGGTTTTCGTACGTCATATGACGCGTTTTTACGCGTTTTTTTACAAACCTGGTTTGTATAAACGCGTCGAAACGCGTCATATGACGCACGAAAACCAAGGTTTGTCGACAAACCTCCTTTATGAATTCGGGCCATAGGGTATACCTATGTGCTACATGATCAACCTTTTCCAATCGCTTCCATACAGTTTCTTTTACAATGCAATCACATGACTAGAACTCTTATTTATCTTTAAAGGTCCGACCTCGTATAAATTATTCCCTCTCCTTTCTTGTCTATTTCATTCTGCCTTGAAGCGTGTCCATATTTCCGGGAGGGATATCTATTTATGCCGTTCTTCCCTTCCCCATCTGCCTATCATATGCCATCTAGAGGGGATACCATATTATATTCTTGACCCCAAAACACCTGTTGTTGATTAGGTTGCTAAGAGATGTTGGAATGCACTTTAAATAACACATGAAACAAATTGTGATAAGTGGATATATTTGGTGTAATGAGCGTGGCCTATTCACTCTGGCAAATGAGGTTGCAGCAAAATCCACTAGTTTCCTATAAATGTTTGATTATTCATTTGTTGTGTGTAACAGTGCTTCAGTCATTATCCATACAGCCAGTGCTCTATATATACTCTTTTATTCACAAACCACGTGATATTGATAATCAGATTTCAGGGTTTAATTGGCGGGAAATTTCAGCAGTTTATTATTCTATTCTTGTATTGAAGCCTATTGAGGCGATGATCTACGTTAACAAATGGCAAACAATTTTGATGGGAAAATTTTAGAGTAATTGACTTGGCAGGCTGGCCTTATAAATATCTCACGATCGGCGGGAGACCAGGCTGCCAATTATTCAGTAACAAATTCGGATAGGATAGTTGACATTTCTAACGTCAGACTGCAACAATCGATGGGGTAGGACGATTCATTTCACCATGTTCACGAGCTCGATAATTTCATTTTAATAATGACGAAATTATGCAAGATTAGTACTTCTTTTCACGAGTCGAAGTGGATTATAACGGGATAGTCGTGTTGTACTCTAATATCGCTCGTGACATGAAAATGATTTTTTTTTAAATCACAATCAAACGTTACCGCGTCTGTAGCAATAACATGGATCTAAAGTGAAGATTCGATGATGCCTGGCGATGTAAGTATTGGTGCTCCAGTCTTATTGTTCTTCCTGATTTCGTATCAATATTTTCTATCCTATACGAACTGAGGACATAAATGTTTTCCAGCCTACCCTAGTATCTGTTACAGTAGCGTACGCAGGATTTTTTTCAAGGGGGGGGGGGAATAACATTTTAAAATCGGGCCGAGAATTTCGCAACAACTCAGCCAGCCGCTGAATAAGCGGGGGAGGGGGGAGGGGTAAGAGGACACTTTTTTTTTTGGTCTCGCAATTTGAAATTTGAAATTTTGGTCCGTCGGGGGGGGGGGGGGGGTTAGGTCACCTTTTTTTAGGTCAGCCATTGGCATAATTAAAAAAAAAAAAAAACACAAAGGGGAGGGGTTGCTCCCAAATACACACATTAAAAAAAATGAAGGGGGTAGCCCCCCCCCCCTGCGTACGCGCCTGATCTGTTGGGTGATATCATTTAATAATGAACTCTCTTAGTGTGTATTTCAGGATCTTTAAATACCCAATCTTCTGATTACTGCAAGTCAAATAACCTATGGTGACGATAGCCTTTAATTAAGTCGCAACCATCAAGAGATCTGATCGGTGTTACTGAATATCTTTCCTTATTTCAAGGAATGGAATAAAAATTTGACAGTTTCCAATCAATAATGTTTATGTGTTCCTTGTTCCCAAGTTGATTTTCTGTCCTTTAATAAATCGTTTTAACTGACCAGTCATTCTCTAACTCATGTCTGCAATGCAGAATGTGTGTAAATTCCAATATTAAGGAAAGATGGGGCAAGATGCGACATTATGAGTAATGGAACGTGACAATTATTCATTATATTATAATTCATATAACAATTAATTCAAATATTCATTATTTGAAACATCTTAATTTGACGTTACCCCTTTACATCCGGGACAAACTGTACAAAGTCGTTTTTCTTGGTATTCTTACAGGTTTTGATTTCAATTTCGGTAAAAGATTCTCTTCCCCAAAATTGCATTTAATTATTTACAAACCGATTTGTCACATGACGGTAATAAGATATTTCACAATATTCGTATTTATTTTATATATAACTTTGTGTCATATATTTTATATACGTGAAATGTATGACTGCCTTTGATATCAGACTCATCCGACACAAAATGAACAGCATGTCACGCATGCCGTCTATACTGCAATGGAATCATTTTTTGTTTGTTTGTGTATTTTGTTTTCCTTTCCCAGATGTGGTATATAATTAGCATTCTAATAGTGCTACATCAAAAAATGCTCCTTACCCTGCAACAATGCGAAAGTAAGTATTCAACCCCTTTTCCCCTTTTTTATTAGTGGATATAGCGAACTCCATCACTATAAAAAAGAGACAATTGATTTTAGAGTTTAAGCTCCAAATTCTTACTTTGAAATTAAGATAGCCAGTCGTTTTTCACGACAAAGGTTGTTAAAGGTCCGTATTATATTAATTCAGTTAAACCCATCGCTGGGTTTTAAAAAGAACTTCGTCAGATTGTTAAACCCAAATTATTATAAGATACGAGTGTCTGAAAACATATGAGCAGCATATGAAAGTACATATATATGTAAATCTGAATTGTTAATAGAATACTCTGCCTTTAACCTCATTTACGTGCATTTTAAGTCAATTGAAGTCACTTTTTATTCCAATGTGTAACTGTTGCTATAAATTATTGTGTATCTGTTTATATTCTGATAATGATTATGTGCTTATGGTATGGAATCAGTGAATAAAAACACCGACTTGTGGATGGGTTTGAGTGTTTTAACTGTGTTCAATATTACAACAAACAAACAAAGGCAAAATAAAACAAAACAAAAACAACAATTTAAAAACAAGAAATTTTACCATTGCACACAAATCTGGTTTTGAGACATTGCAAAAAAAATTATCAGCACCGTGTTGTTGAAACGTCAGAATTTGCCCCAAAAGTTCACGGCTAAACTGGATAGGGTCTTAATTATTGGGGCTAAATGTTATGTAAAAGAAATTCGTGCTACTCGATCCTCCTACCACAAGGGTTTTTATCACTGTGCGTTTAAATTCAATTTATTGATTAAACTCCAAATAAGAAGGATAATTCTCAATTTTCAATAAATATCACACTTATAGCGTCACAAATACACTTCTCATAAATATTTAAGTTAAAGAAATCGAAATTCCTTCACATTAGGATTTTAGTCAATAAATTGAATTTGGATTTGGATTTGGATTGAAGTATGGATACCTAGTTATCCACAGATTTAAGAGTAGTTCATACAATCATTGTTTGCATTTACAGCATGTCCGTATTGGACAGAACAACATGAGGAGTCGTGCTACTATTTCAGTACCTCTTTGGCGACACGCTCTCAAGCCTTTTCCAACTGTTCCAAGTACGAGCTCCATCTGGTTTACATCGAGACTGCAGAGGAACAGGACTTCATCGAAGGTCGCATGGAGGAGAACAACGTTGGGGATTACTGGATCGGACTAACGGTGGACTCTGATGGCCAGGGAGTGTGGTTGGACGGGTCTAGTCTCACTTATAATAACACGGAAAATAATTCTTACAACGAGGGGAGCGAGTGTTTTCGTATGTTAGCATCGAATGGATACGCGTGGCATGATAGAGAATGCTCCTATTATTTTAGATATATTTGCGAGAAAGAAAATGGTGATTATTTCATTTTTATCTGATTTAGAAAATGGTTTAATGTAGGAGAGCATCACAGAAATACACGTGGCATGACAGTAAATGCTTAAAGACCCTGTCTGATTAAAATACAACGTGATATAAATGGAAAACTGAATGAATGCAAAATACAAATATAAAGGGAAAACAAAGTATTTACCCTTTTATTATTGCACAAAAGCAAATTAAAACCCCATTTTACGGGTCAACAGGGGTCAAATTTGCTGAAGTTACAGTGAAGACATAACATGTGGACCCGACCGGTTTACCTATATAGCTGAGGCCTGAGCGGTTTCCAAAGTGGGGGGGGGGGGGGCGTCAACAAAACAGGGCACTTTCTGGAGAAAAAAAGGGCACTAATAATTTAGGTAAATGTGCATTTGTTGAAAGAAAGGAGCACCGATCAGATTTTAATAGGGGCATTTATCGCAGGTGAAAGGGGGATTTTATGAGAAGGGGGAAGTGGCTCTTATTAAAAACAAAAAGAGGCACATGTTAAAATAAATTATCAGAGAAGGAAAGAGGTCATTATGAGAAGAGGAAGGGGCACTTATAAGAAGGAAAAAGAGCATTTATTAGGAAGGAAATGGGGCACGTGTCATAATAAAATGGACAGTTATTAGAGATGAAAAGAGCACTTATCAGGAGGAAAAGGGGCACTTGTCAAAATAAAACGAGTATCTCTCAGAATTTAATAGGGTAATTTACCAGAGATGAAAAGGGGCGCTTATGAGAATGAAAAGGAAAAGAGGCATTTATAAGAAGGGGAAGGGGCTCTTATTTTAAATGGGGGCACTTATCAAAAGGAAAAGGGGCACTTATTTGGAAAGGAAAGGGGGCACATGTGAACATATAATGTGCGCTTATCCGAGTTAAAATGGGGTAGTTAATAAAAGGGGAAGAGGCATATTTTTCAAAAGAAAAGGGGCACTTGTAAAAGTAAAAGGGGCACCTCTCAGATTTGAATAGGTCGATTATCATATGAGAATCTTATGAGAATGGAAAATGGACCCTTATTGCAAAGGAAAATGGGAGCTTGTCGAAGAAAAAAGGGGTGCGTTTTAAAAAAAAGGGGGGCACTTATCATAGGTGGAAAGGGGAAAGGGCACTTTTGGGATATTTGACAAAGTTGGGGGGCACCCCCCATTAAACGATCATGTTCAAAGCCGTAAATGGCATAACTTCATATCATGACACATGTATGCATACACACAAATACACGGCCAAGGTCATGTTAAGTGTGTGTGCGTACGGGGTGTGGGTGTGGATGGGTGGTGGGTGTGGGTGTTTGTAATGTGGGTGTGAAAATGGGTTCATGTGTGCAGGTGCGTCGGAAGTGGGGGAGGGGCCGGGGGCTAAAAAGTATGGGGGCAAAACCCATTTAAACAAAAATCAGCAGTAAACAAGTAAAAATGGTTTCTATTTTTTAACCAAAAAGAAGAAAAAAAATAATAAAGCCTTAATTGAATTCTCACATCAAAATTATATTCCATTAAAAGAAAAAGAGATTAAACAAGAATTACATTTCCTAAACATTCCTGCATGCCCCTACATTTATCAATGGAGGATGTTATAATGTCGATACGCGCATATCGTTGAAATATCGTGGAAGACATAAGCCCCCGAACCAGTGGCGGATCCAGGGGGCCGGGGGGCCGGGCCCCTCCCCCGGGGGAAAACCCATGAAAAACACGTTAATTTTACCTTTATTTGGAGATGGGCTCTCTCCCCTGGTGCCCAAGGGGGAGGGGGGGGGGGGGGGTGCGTTTTCCAAATATTAGGTGGGAAAAAAATTAGTGCTCATTAACCCCCCCCCCCCCCCCCCCCCCCCCATTGTGAATATACGTACTCCACATAAGATGATGCCATCAAGTCGATAGCAAGTTTTTATGTCGACAACTTCCGATTTTCAAAGCTTTAGATTATGAGTTTTTAGAGAGGTGATACTCCTCTGACAGACACTAAAAAGGCATATAATTGATATTATCTCTGGTTAATAAGTTTCGTTGATATATAATTCATTCATTTCATTTTTCAGTTCGGATATGGTCTTTAACAACTTTTAAATATATTTGCAAGAAAGAAATGGTGATTAATTATTATTTTTTTTAAATATCGGTTTAATCAATGCATTGCATCACCGGGATACAGGTGGCATATTAAACAGAAAGTGCAAAAAAACAAAAATCTTTAAACATATTTGCGATTGGTCATTATTTCGTGTTTACTTCATTTTTATATTAGTTTGACCAGGACAGATCCAGGAAATTGTCATGGGCTAGGGGGCACGATGCGGAGAAAAGAATACACAATTGGAATCAGATTGTTCCTTTGAGTACTTAGGGTATGCCATTTGGGTATTTCGAAGGAAGACACCTGCCGTATGTGACCACCTGCCTCCACCCCCTCAAAACATAAGATAATTCTCATCCACTCTTTGCTGGTGTATTATCGGAACATTGTCAACTGATGAATAGAACATGAGATGATAAGTAAAAACTATTTGGAAAACTCATAATCCAATAAAAACAAATCAATTCCAACGCAACGATAAAATATCAGAAATGGACCTACTAATATGCATAATGGCCTTAATGTTAGTTTTCATAGTAGACCTCCATAGCAATTTGTTCGTTATATTGAACGTACTTTTTTCAATCTTGTTTCAATACAGACTGTTCAACAAAGACCACATTGGCAACAACTGAACTGGTGACGACAAAACCTACAACAGCTACAACAACACACCAACCATCAACAAAATCAGTTACAACTACACAACCAACCACTACTAAACCTACATCGCAACCATCTACAACAACATTTACAACAGCTATACCATCTACCACTACCAAACTACTACAACAACGGACCAATCTATGACAACATCTACCACATCTAAACACCCAACCAATGCTAAACCTGCAACACAACAATCTACAACATTTGCAACAACTACACAAGCAACCACTACCAAACTTACTAAAACAACGGAACCATCTACAACAACAGTTACAACACCTACACAACCAACCACTACCAAACCTACTACAATAACGGAACCATCCACTACAACAGCTACATCAACTACACAATCAACCACTACTAAACCTACAACACAACCATCTACCACAGCAGTTACACCAACTACACAATTAACCACTACCAATCCTAAAAGAACAACGGAACCATTTACTACAACAGCCACAACTACACAACCAACCACTACCAAACCAACTACAACAACAGAACCCTCTACAACAATAGCCAAAGCAACTTTACAACCAACCACTACTAAACCTACAACAAAACCGTCTACAACAACAGCTACAACAACTACACAACCAACCACTACTAAACCTACAACACAACAATCGGCAACAACATCTGCAACTACAACCACCACGACGGCATCCCCCAAAGGTAATCGGTCAATATTATACAAGACAGGAGTACTATAAACTAAAATGTATACGTACAACATGCAAACACGCACGAAGTATCCTCCAAATATCTGATTTAACCCCTACTGTACTACTTGTAGCTATTTAAAGGTACTATGTCCCTTTTTCAGCCGACCTCGAATTCTGTAGAACTTTGCAGGAATTATGAATATGTCATGTATGTTCTATCTGTGAAATTTAAACGTTAGCAGTGTCCTAATATTCAAATTATGCAAGGAAACCCGTTTACTTGCTAGACTTCACTGTCATACACTATTGAGTGACTGACTGGATTTTGTTCTTCTTTGGTAAATAACATAATATGAAATGAGCTGTAAAGGGTACATGAGCATTTGTCTACATCAATAACCCAATTCTTGTGATGGCCAAAATTAAACTGATTGAATCTTTGCGTAGCATAAAACGTATGACCATTCGGTACAATGGTCTGAAAATCAAGACTATTACTTATTGGCTCTATAGCTCCTAATTCGATTTGACAACTAATAGTCGTTATTTTCCTACTTGAAGACATTTTCAAGCCCCACCTTTTTTAGGGAAGTTCTAAATTAGTATTATCTCTCAAATGCCATTGGAATTTAACCTTTTCATTTTTTTAGCCTGCAAATGGGACATAGTACCTTTAATTGCTCCCTCTATATAGAAAACTTCCCCAATCGGTTTCAAATATAGTGCAACCGGCCTAGGGTTGGAAATTCTGTTCGTGTATAGAGAATCTACTGCGTGGTAATTGTCAATGGAGCACGTACTAGACAATCCAAATCAAAGGTATAGACCAGTTCTGGTCATAAGATTGCATTGTGAAAGAAACGTTGTGGAATCGTTCAGAAAAAGTTGATCATGTATAGCATATAAGTAATGGTGTGTACTGCAAGGTTCTGGAATCATCAAAACGATAAGAAATTTGGCCCAGTCTTGGTAGAGTTACAAGCACTGTACACTGAAAGATATGGGACTACGCGATATTTATACAGGCCAGTTCGATATGATAATTTACCAAATATATCAATTAGTAGCCGGTTTCCCGGCAAAACATATTCTTTCACATGATTGCTAATAAGAGCTTTCATTTCATTTTTTGAGAGGGGGGCGTTTCCAAAACTGGTCTATATCTTTATATTGTATTCTGTTATCCCCCTTTTATTTGAAGCTCGCCAAAGGTCGAACCAGTATAAAATAATCGCCCAGAATAGAGCTATTATGGATTCGTCCGTGGTCAAGCGAGACTCCACGTCGACGTTGATACGGTGTACGGCCCTGTGTTTGGCTACGGAGTCCTGCTCGCGCTTTACCTTCAGTGCTGACAATGGAGATTGTTTACTAGGAGGCGTTGCACCAAACGAAGAGCATGATTTTGAGATGCGCCCTGGAGCCCGAACATTTGAGGTCATCTGAAATCAATAGAGTTATCGTTTATCTCGGTAAATCGAACTCAGTTGCTATATTATAGAATTAACCGGAATTTAGAACATGCAAACAAACAAACCCGGTTTTTAAGTTTTTCTACAATGTTCATCATTCTGAATAAGTCTACTTGAATATATTCAAACATTGGAATGAACACAAAAAGAAAAATTGTAACAAACAACTATGATTTTGGAAAAATTAGACAATTGAGTATAATAATCTATTCATGTTGATATTTTGTTTGGTTTTAACATGTATGCGTATGTCTTTTTATTGTAATTTAACATGCCGTTATAACAATGTGAACAAGAACATTCCAGTTTTTACGGTTTATTTTCATGGCAATGGGAACTTACACAATATTTGATGATTGGATTACAACCATTATCGAACTGAACCGATTAGTAAAATCAAACAGGATATGAGCCATGAAGTCGATTTAATGACTATTTTTGTAATGGACTGCTTTTTAAGCCAATTATAGACAAAAAAGAGGTTCGTTAACGAGATGGTTATTATTTTTCTAATCATCATTAATTTAGCGTGTCATTTTGCTGGAGTCTTTCTCATTAACTGTTTAATAGCTGAATTTTGAGGATTATGAAACATGAAAATTTTCCCCCGGATCGTTTGAAAGGTTAATATATATTTTTTAATTTGACTGTCATACTGATAATGGTATGCGTTTATACTGCAGTACATAATTATAGGAACAAAGCTAGTTTATAAATAAATATATATATTTGAAAATGTGTCATATTTTATATATTCATAATGATCGGAAAGAAAATAGTTTCAACTGAAATTTGTTAACACTTTTAAACGTAAATACAACAAATATTTGCTGGATCTATATTGATGCTAGCTAAAGATTTCAATGGTTGTTAAAGTTCATAATATTTTACATGTAATTGTTATTTGTTTTAATGTAAATATAGCTTAAATTAAATCATAAGACTTTTTATATCTAATTATTTGGTCAGCCGCATATAAGGACCACCTCCTTTCTGGCTGCTACCAGCCTAAGCAATTTCTATTGTGTTTTTAACGATACTTATTCATGTTTGTAAATTGATTCTGTGTTTATCTATGTTAGTAATTGCAATTTTGTGATACTTTGTATATTGCTTTTTTACCCTGTATGTTTTGTTATTGCTTGGCAAAGTAAATTGAATTGAATTTTATTTTACTATTAAGTTTTATTTATCGAACACAATAAGAGATAAACTCATTAATCACCCAACAAAATAATGCAAATGATTTCAGGTCATTTCAGTTGTGATAGTAGGATTAACAAATACCATGATGGTGATCAGATTCACTAAATATATATTTTAGGTATCATGTCAGCAAATTAATAGGTGGCCAGTCGTTTAGGAGAATCCAATTTTTGTCTTAGAATTGACATTTATTTAAAAAATGTATACTTTAAAGATGCTATTTTTAAACATTTCGTACAACGAATTTTATGTTAGTCTTGAAACAGTATAGATATGAATTTGAACGATTCTTTGTAAGGACCTCCCCTCCCCCCTCCCAGATTGAAAATAGTTATGTGCCGTTAGTCCCTTTGTGCGTACAGATCGAACAATGTACTCTATCCGAAATTCAATTCATTTAATTCAATTCAAAAATGGTTTTTATTATAGCAGAAACATGGTTCATACAAATACAATTTTACATGAAGGACAGCCTTGGCTGGAATATTCACGTTTACGTGTTCGGCACAATAGATAACACTTTTAAATATATACATGTAAAAAACTAGCAATATCAAAAATAAGACTTAGATTCTGTAACTAAAATCCATAAACACATTGCACAAATTTCCAGAAATACAGCTGTAATTGTTTACAAATGTCCTATAAAAGTCTATACAAGCATGGTAAAAATATTAAAATAGGTACATTTTAAACAGCCTGCTTGGGGGAGGAGACAAGCACTTAGTATACCTGCAATAATGATAAAAGTACAAAAATAAAACTCTTTTTTTTCTTTTCCTTTTTTTTTCTTCAACTTTTATTGAGTATGTCAACTAGAAATGACAGTGGGCTACTTTTAAATCTTTTTGTTTTGAATTGAAATTGTTGATAAATGGGAATACAGCGAAGATTGATGTTAGTGTTTTTTTTTCTTAGGTAACCAGGTCTGACAAATAGAGTGATTTGAAAGGGATTTTGCGAATTTTCTACAAAATGCTAGTCTCCTCTCCTCAAGAGTTGGTAAATTGCATACTTGGCATGCATTAGAATACGTAATGTAACTAGGCCCTAAAATAATCTTACATACTCTACGTTGTATTTTTTCAAGATTATTATTTTGTTCTACTGTAAGACTGTATGTCAACTAGAAATGACAGTGGGCTACTTTTAAATCTTTTTGTTTTGAATTGAAATTGTTGATAAATGGGAATACAGCGAAGATTGATGTTAGTGTTTTTTTTTCTTAGGTAACCAGGTCTGACAAATAGAGTGATTTGAAAGGGATTTTGCGAATTTTCTACAAAATGCTAGTCTCCTCTCCTCAAGAGTTGGTAAATTGCATACTTGGCATGCATTAGAATACGTAATGTAACTAGGCCCTAAAATAATCTTACATACTCTACGTTGTATTTTTTCAAGATTATTATTTTGTTCTACTGTAAGACTGCTATGGAACGCTGGAGCACAATATTCTAAAATTGGTTGTATATAACCTACGTATATTGTCACTAAATCCTTAAAAGGTAAATTGAATTTCTTAAGTTTCCTCAACATGAACAGTTTCATGCTCTCTTCATATTGAATTTAAGGTTTTATATGATTTTATTAATGGATCCGGGAGTGCTTATCATACATCTGGACCATGATGTCTTATTATTTTATGCAGGATCAATAATTTAGGATTTATCGAATGTAAGTTTAATGAATTCCGAGTAGAGTAAGAATGGATAAAGTTAGTTATACAAAGAAGTCTTAAATGAATCACGAATAGGCTATTCATTAACTGAAACATAAAGATCAAACTCTGTTGTGCGTTTATATGAAAGATAGTTTATATGAAAGATCGCATTGTTTTCAAAATTTTGTTGCTTACCTTTCATTGCGTTCACGGCTCTGCTCCTCAATACCTTATCTCTCTAATCCAAAACTACACTCCTGCAAGACCTCTACGCTCATCCACTTCCAATTTTCTTGTGACCCCCAAAATTACCAAAACGTGGGGGGAAAGATCATTTGCATACTCTAGTCCTAAATTATGGAATGGCCTTCCTGAAGACATCAAAAAATGTTTATCCTCTGATTCTTTCAAAACTCATCTCAAAACATTTCTTTTCAAGTCTTGATCTTTTTTCCTGTTTACACGCGCCTTGAGCACTCCACAGAGTGGATTTGGCGCGATATAAGTTACATTATTATTATTATTATTATTAAAAAATATTTTAAAAATTCATAAAATAAAGGATTTGTTGAAGGCTAAATATTGAGAGCGAGCACATATGCAAAGCGCTTTTTTTTGCCATAAATAAATATGGTTAACTTTTGTCTTTGCACTGAAGCCCACGGCAAGTTACAATATGAAATGTATGGCAAGATAAGGGAGTTATATAGCATTAAAAGGGTCTTCTTAGGAAGATATTTTTTGTCTTATAAAGTATACCAATATTTCTAGAAATACATGTAGTTGTATGTCGTATGTGTTCATTCCAGCTAAGATTATCATTCTAACAGAACACTTCCTCGTTGAGCGCTTTCTATCTTTCTTCTTTTCCTCCGAATTTCCCAGTTTGTATGCATTCACATTGTAATATATCTTTGTTTTGCTTTGAATTTGATTTTTTTTTTTTAAATATTGAAATATCATCGTCACAAATAATTACAGATAATTAACAAACGAAAGTAGTCAAAGCATATTTTTTTGTTGCTTTACCTGTACAAAGTTCTCACATTTCTCCACATACAGATACGACACATCTTATGTATTCAATAATATTACAATTATATTACAAATAACTTTATAAACGTCGAGTTTCATTATGCACAAATTTTTCAAAAGTCTCCTTTTAACGATATAATTATAATAATAACAATAATAGCCTAATAGTCCACTCCAATCCACTCCAAATTTTATTAAACCGAAACGGAAATTCTTTTTGCCCAATTGATCGTGAGCCCGGCAGCCACTGAGCAGCGCCAGATCGACGTTGCTCTATCCCTTATTGTTGAACGCCAAACAAGGTAGCAACAACTCCCATCTTTTAACGTCTTTTGGTATGACGCGGCGGGGGTTCGAACCCACGACCTCCCGGTTGTGAGGCGGACGCTCTACTGACTGAGCCAACACTCCGGTTATGCCACATTTTATATATTCAATAAAATGGAAAAAAAACGTTGTTATCGTCTGGTTTCATGATCTTTACAAACCTTTCTTTATTGTTCAAATGTATTAATTCATTAGTAATGATACTAATTTGTTCAAACAATATTTCTTTCTAGACACTTAATTCTTGACAATCCATGGTGATGTGATATTCGTTCACAATTTCCACACTACAACAAGCATTGCAAGTACGTTAATATGTTGGTAATTTACTCCGGCGTCTATGCCTTCCAATTTCAATTGGTTAATTATGTGAAACAATTCTAAATCGGTAATATTTTAACGTAGTTCATTGCTTTTACAATTTTTTCTCTAATCTAGATATTCGCAGTTTACTTTTTCCTTTCCGTATACGCAACTTCTGTTCAAATCCATCATAAATATTTAAAAAAAAGCATATCTATCGGAGTTTAATTTCTGGTTCCTCTCCGACTATTTTATCGTTATCTATAATAGTTTTTAATTCTAGAAATTCATAATATCCGTCAACATGTAAATCAACTTTCTTTGATAAATTGTGAACATTACTAAGCCAACATGTAATAGATTCTGCTATCATTTTTCTATTTTCTTGAAAAGAAGAACATAACAAAGAGTTTTCATCGACACTTTTCATGCGAATCCAAAATTTCATTAAATTGTAACATATTATATCGATAACTATAGTATATTCTCCAGCTTCAGCCAACACAGCCGATTTACTTCTTGTTTTTATTTACCCATACGTTATTTCTCATCCATTGCAAATGAACACTTTCTATAACATTATTAAAAGACATTCTTGACTTCTCCTTTTCAATCTTTACCAATTTATCAAAATTCATTACAGAAGCACTCCATACTTCCGAACCATATAAAATGACATGTTTAACAAGATAATTAAATAAACGAACAGCTATTTTAATGTTCGGAAGGTGCTCTCCAAATAGCTTAAATAACCGAAAACATTTCTTTTTAGATTTCTCTGCCCGAGTTATTGATGTATTACTAAATTAACCACATGTAGAAATAGCCAAACCTAAATATACAGCCTGCTTTACAATTTCAATTTCCTCGCAATTTATATTACATCTATGTTGTTTCAACTACTTTCCATTCTAATTACGAACCGACATTCTCGTTTTCTTAATATTTACTCCGAGTAACCATTTTTTAAACAGTAAATCCCAAGTTTATCTAAAAAAGTCTGCATTCCGTTTTTAGTTTGGGATATTAGTACAATGTCACCCGCGTACATCAAACAATTCACTATTTTCCAATTTAATTCTACTGGATCATTACCAGTTGTTCCTAATTCCTGTGGAAAATCATTAGGGTAAACATTGATTAAGGTGGGGTTAATAATTGTAGAACCCTGTTTCACTCCACAATTAATTGAAAGTATGGGGTAATTCATTCGTTTAGATTAAGACAAAAAGTTGCTTTCGTATACATGGTAGTAATAACATAATTAAACATTCCTCCAATACCATATGTCAACAATTTATAAAATAATCCTTTTCGCCATTCACTATCAAAGGCCTTGCGTAAATCTACAAATCACAAAATAATAAACATTACTTTTCTGACTTACGTCCCTAGCTCTCACATATTTATATATTTTTCATTCTAAATAATATATGATTCTAGGTTCTATAGATTCCCTGAACCCTCTTTGGTTTTAGACATAGAGTTGATTTTCTACTAAATATATAACCAGACGTCTGTTTAAAATATTACAAAATAGTTTTCCAACAGAGCACGAGAGGGAGATGTCCCTATAATTAGAAGCATCTGTCTTTTCACCATCTTCCTGACCATTTACTAGGAAATCTTCCGGCAATTAGTGTGTGTGTGTGTGTGTGTGTGTGTGTGTGTGTGTGTTGGGGGTAGATATCTCACGTGACGTTTCTTTTATTTTCCTGACAAAGAACAAATTAATTCACTTCCACAAATAAAAACATCATCTTTATGGGGGAGTTGGAAGTGTGAGCTCTTTGCAATACTTCCTCGTGAAACATATTTTGACAAATTACATGCATGTTGACAACTTCGAAATAGAATGAATTTGAATGTGACAAACATCGGATTCGAACTAATTCCGACGCAAGGAGCGTTTTTATTTTAAACACACGTCTAGTTACAACCACGCATCATGATACACGCTTTTTCATGAAAGCGTAAGAAGCCACGTTTGTTTGATCTGTGCTAAACTGGAATGACATTATTCATTTCCCTGTTAGCCCTCATGGTCTTCTCAAACTTTGCCCAGAAGAGTTCTTGTCCATCTTCATCATCATCCACCCACAGCAAATAAGGTTTGTTCCGACTCAGCAACAGCCTTACAAGATACGGTAGGTGTTCATCATCGATGTCTTCTAAGAATATGAGGATGACCTTCTCCAACTTGGTGTCATTCATATGCTCTACGGCCATACGGAGTTTGGTCATGAACCAGGTATCCTCCACTGACTGGTTGCTAAGCAATAAGACCGTCTTGTAGCTGTTCTCGATGACGTCGTAAATGGCGTTTAAGTAGAAAGACCCTGGATGAAGACCACTATCCCCCCAAACGATGTTCTCCAGATGTGGCATCCTCTCCTGCAGGAATGGCTTCATGCAATCGTTAATCCACCACTCATCATCTTCACGGAACATAAGGTTAAGCTGATACTCGTAATCCGCAGGATCTTGATTTTCAATGATTTCTTGATACCCAAGGATGGCCAACTTTAAGAGAAATAGCTTGTGGTTCAGCCACCATCGCTTTCGGTACACGAGGACACTTAGCGACAGAACGGTCACGGTTGCCAAAGATACACTTACAATAAGATAGATATTGACTCCGCAGTAATCCTTAGGATGGAACGACCAGATAGTCTGATTTTTTAGCGATTTGAAGGAAGTACTAGAGCAACGAGTCTCACTTCTTAGATCAATTGTTGTATTCACCTTGTCCAGCCATTCCCTGAACCACGCAAGTTGGCAGGTACATGTGAAGGGATTGTTCGCAATGATTAACACATTTAGACTTGTTGGTATTAGTGTGAAAGGTTCTATCGTGGAGATTTTATTATCATGGAGGTATAGATACCGGAGACTGGGAGTTCTAGAAAATAATTGCTTCTCGATAACTGAAATGGAGTTGGAATTCAGTTGCAGGGTACGTAAGTTCTGTAAATCCTGCAAAGCTTTCTCGTGAATGATTTTGATCGAGTTTAAGCCCAACGAGAGAACTGTTAGTGACGTGAGATTCCTAAATATCTCCGAGTCAATTTGCTGTATGCGACTATTGGTCAGATATAGCTCACGAAGATTCCATAGTGTGGTAAATGCGTTAGGAGCCTCGTGGAAATCATTGAATAAGTTATGTTGCAGGTTTAGGGTGTGCAACGAAACCAGTCCTGAAAACAGGGATGTATTGCTTGTAAATTGGACTAGATCTTTGGCTTTGATGTAAGTTCTGGATAAGTTTAGAGTCCTCAGCGCCGATGTATAAGTAAATTGGCCAAGGGAAGAAATTTCTAAGTGACTATGAAGATAAGACATATCGAGCAATACTAGTTGCTGCATGTTTCTGAAAGAACCAGTCATCGTAAATTTGACCAAATCATACATTATGACCTTTTCTAAAGAACTGGTTTCTTCAAAGGCATCAACGGATATATCAAGAGGATTATAATTCCTAGTGAAATCAAGAAATTTTAGATTTTTTAAACCAAGAAACATATTTCTGTTCACGGAGTTAAAGTTGTTTTTGGCTAACATAAGAGTTTGAAGATTTGTTGCATCCCAAGGTATAGTTTTGATTTCATGAATGCTGCTTTGATAAAATCTCAAAGTGTTGAGACGGTGGCTTCCGTCGAACCATTGAGGATCTAATACAGCAAAGTCGTTACGTGATAACTCAATCCTCTCAAGCTTTTCGGCACAAGCAAAAGATCCTCGTGGAAGCGACTTAATTTCGTTTACGGATAGATCCAAATTAACCAGCGATTTCAATCCACAAAATGACTCGTTATGAAGGCTAGATATATGATTGGAACTAATGTCTAGTACCTGGAGTTTTTCGAAACCATCCAGGGCATACTTTGGAAAAGTTATTAATTCGTTATAACTTAGATAAAGTTTTGTTATACCTGGAAAACGATATGTTGGTATTACCGTTGTATTCATGGGTACAATATATCTTATGCCCGAACTGGTTATGGTCGCTTTTACTATTGCCTTGCTACCCAAAAAGGAATCGGCGTGGAACTTAACCAATGATATATTATTGATGAGTAAATGTACTGCTGATAGTTCCGTAAAGACGGCACGAGAGAGAATTTTTATATCGTTATAATTCAAGTTGAATCTATCAAAGGAGCAATTTCGTAAAGCTACAAAATCTCCTTGCTCTATTGATCTGACGTTATTAAAAGACAAGTCAAAAACTGACAAATTCTTACATCTGCATGCGTCCTCCCCATCTTCTGCAAACTGAGTAGTTTGCAGGTTGTTTCCAAAGATGCGAGGAATTCTCTTGAGTCTATTATTATGTAAGAATACCAAGGATAGATGAACATTATTCTCCAGGAGGGAAATGGGTAGGACACTAATACTGTTGCGATGGAGCCTTAATTCTTTAAGTAGCAAGAGAGCATGAAATGTTTCATTCTCAATGAGGTAGATGGAGTTATAACTAGCATCTAAAGTTTCTAGCTGAGTATAGTTCACGAAAGATTTGTCCAGGAGCATAGATATGTTATTATGGGAAACGTTGAGGGAACGCAAGTCGTGTGGAAGATTCCGGGGAACCGATGTAAGACCGCGATATGAGCAATTGGCGCTATGGTCACTCGAGTTTTCCGAGCACTTATGATCGAGATGTATGCTGGTGTGATCCATCACCACACCATATCGCAAAGTGAATCCACACAGTACTACGAAGCTTATTGCGTGAGCGTACACAGCCATCGCAAGTTCCAAACAACAGGCCGCTGATACTGAATGAATACGAGAAAAATGAAGGAAAATAGAAGTAGTACCTTTATAAAGATGAAACCTAGGCCTATCTTAAAAGGAAATATCCACGGAAGAACGATGAGGTCTTTGCGGCTGCTGTAGACATCATATTTCATATGCTTTTTCAAAATGTGTTTGTTTGTTTTAGTTGACTGCTAAGAACCTTTGTTTATCACATACCCAGAATATCACCTCGTGATGTTATAGTTGTAGAGAATCAGGCCAAATTTGTACCTTTGGCCTACCAAGCTGATACAAGAGTTGACTGGATGGTCTTATTTTGCTTCCCAAGAAGGTCGATAGGCCAAATCCTGGACTACATCAGAGATAATATATATATATATATATATATATATATATATATATATATAAGCAGGTATGAAAATTCAGTAGTTCTAAACAACTATGTTCTTGATTGTCCCTCTGTGCATGTTCTTTTTGTTCTTTGTCCTAGATCAGGCGCGGATCCAGGATTTTCCAATAGGGAGGGCCGGAAAATTGCGCAGACCGTTTTTCAACTCAACATACCAATACTGACAAGGTCATATTAGAAGCACCATACCGGTATTTTTTTTGACATTTTCATCGGGGGGGGGGGCTGAAGCCTCTTGCCCGAAAAAGTAATTCTCTGGTTTCACAATTCGGCTAGTGACCGAAGCGAGCGAGCAAAAATTTGAGGATAATATGTATTTTGTGAAAGTGTTATTTATCACCAAAATATACGAGAAAAGATATAACAAATTCATATTCGGGCAATTATTTTGGCAAATTATTAGAGAAAGAAGAGGATTCGTTGTACCATTCTCGACTCCTAATCCTTGTCTGAATTTAGTTCCTCCCCCCCCCCCCCCCCCCATCCCGCGCGAAGCGCGGAAGTTTTGACCTTTCATTAAATGATATTAGAGAAAGAAGACGATTTGTTGTACCATTCTCGACTCTTATTCCTTGTCTGAATTCAGTTTCCCCCCTCCCGCGCGAAGCGCTGAAGCATTGACCTTTCATAGTTTAATGAAATTATTAGAGAAAGAATGTAATTCGTTGTACTGTTCTCGATTCTTCATCATTGTCTGAAATCATTTTCCATACTTCTTCCCGCGCGAAGCGCGGAAGCTTTGACGTTTCATTAAATCATTAGAGAAAGAGTACCGTTCTCGACTTTTAATCCTTGTCTGAATTGAGTCCCCCCCCCCCCCCCACCTCTCCCGCGCGAAGCGCGGAAGCTTTGAGGTTTCATTAAATTATTAGAGAAAAAAGACGATTCGTTGTACCGTTCTCGATTCTTAATCATTGTCTAAATTCAGTTTCCATACCCCCTCCCGCGCGAAGCACGGAAGCTTTGATGTTTCATTAAATCATTAGAGAAAGAGTACCGTTCTCGACTCTTAATCCTTGTCTGAATTGAGTCCCCCCCCCCCCCCCTTTCTCGCGCGAAGCGCAGAAGCTTTGACGTTTCATTGAATTATTAGAGAAAGAAGATGATTTGTTGTACCATTCTCGGTTCTTCATCATTGTCTGAATTCAGTTTCCCCCCTCCCGCGCGAAGCGCTGAAGCATTGACCTTTCATAGTTTAATGAAATTATTAGAGAAAGAAGATAATTCGTTGTACCGTTCTCGATTCTTAATCATTGTCTGAATTCATTTTCCATACCCCCTCCCGCGCGAAGCGCGGAAGCTTTGACGTTTCATTAAATCATTAGAGAAAGAGTACCGTTCTCGACTCTTAATCCTTGTCTGAATTGAGTCCCCCCCCCCCCCTTTCTCGCGCGAAGCGCAGAAGCTTTGACGTTTCATTGAATTATTAGAGAAAGAAGATGATTTGTTGTACCATTCCCGGTTCTTCATCATTGTCTGAATTCAGTTTCCCCTCTCCCGCGCGAAGCGCTGAAGCATTGACCTTTCATAGTTTAATGAAATTATTAGAGAAAGAAGATAATTCGTTGTACCGTTCTCGATTCTTAATCATTGTCTGAATTCATTTTCCATACCCCCTCCCGCGCGAAGCGCGGAAGCTTTGACGTTTCATTAAATCATTAGAGAAAGAGTACCGTTCTCGACTCTTAATCCTTGTCTGAATTGAGTTTCCCCCCCCACCTCTCCCGCGCAAAGCGCGGAAGCTTTGACGTTTTATTAAATTATTAGAGAAAGAAGACGATTCGTTGTACCGTTCTCGATTCTTAATCATTGTCTGAATTCAGTTTCCATACCCCCTCCCGCGCGAAGCGCGGAAGCTTTGACGTTTCATTAAATTATTAGAGAAAAAAGACGATTCGTTGTACCGTTCTCGACTCTTAATCATTGTCTGAATCGAGTTCCCCCCCCCCCCCCTCTCTCGCGCGAAGCGCAGAAGCTTTGACGTTTCATTGAATTATTAGAGAAAGAAGACGATTCGTTGTATCGTTCTCGGTTGTTAATCATTGTCTGAATTCAGTTTCCATACCCCCTGCCGCGCGAATCGCGGAAGCTTTGACGTTTCATTAAATCATTAAAGAAAAAGTACCGTTCTCGACTCTTAATCTTTGTCTGAATTGAGTTCCCCCCCTCTCCCGCGTGAAGCGCAAAAGCTTAACGTTTCATTAAATTATTAGAGAAAGAAGACGCTTCGTTGTACCGTTCTCGATTCTTAATCATTGTCTGAATTCAGTTTCCATACCCCCTCCCGCGCGAAGCGCGGAAGCTTTGACGTTTCATTGAATTATTAGAGAAAGAAGATGAGTCGTTGTTCCATTCTCGACTCTAAATCCTTGTCTGAATTCAGTTTTCCTCCTCCCGCGCGTAGCGCGTAAGCTTCTGACGCTTCATTAAATTATGAGAGAAACAAGATGATTCGTTGTCCCATTCTTGATTCTTAATCCTTGTTTGAATTCATTTTCCCCCTTCCGCGCGAGGCGCGGAACCTTTGACCTTTCATAGTTTAATGAAATTATTAGAGAAAGAAGATAGTTCGTTGTTCCATTCCCGACTCTTAATCCTTCTCTGAATTTAGTTTCCCCCTCCAGCGCAAAGCGCAGAAGCTTAACGTTTCATTAAATTATTAGAGAAAGAAGATGATTTGTTGTACCGTTTTAGACTTGTCAAAAATGTTTCTTTGCCTGCTCCTTTTTTCGTCCTATGTCCTCTTACTGCCCCTACCGCCCCTAGCTACGCATGCTTTAAAGGGAAAATGAAACAATCATGATTGTGATAGCATACAATTAGGTCAGTGGAAATGAAAGGGGGAAAAAAAGATCTATTTATACACTAACCATGGTATAATCGCGACCGGGAGCGTCATATCTTAGTTTTGTGTTATCGGCCGAGGGCCGGGGCGTAGCGACCAAGCGAGATTTTGCAATGTAGAATGCTGAAATTATGCATTCTAGAAAATCCTTTAGTCCAATATGTACGTTCTTTCCGCTACATGTATATTTCTTTCTAGCTATATATCTAAATTTCCGGGGGACGTGTCCCTCTATCGGGCCCAGGATCGCCACCGCTGTCCATTATCACTACCAACATGAGTTCAAATATAAGCACAAGCGAGTTGGTATGAGCTGAATCCAAATGAAGGGCAAACTGAGAGTTGTGAAGCGGCCCCTTTACCGTTAATTTAAAATTTGACTGTTTAGTATATAGCTTCTATTTGAAAGGCATCCAAAATATTGTGCCCTTTTCAATTTTTTTCAAAAAGCAGGGGCTGTTTGTAACGTTTAACTTTGAATCCGTGGCTCGAGATTTTATGCGGCCGGCCCGGCCCCCTCTATTCAATAACGTTTCCCAAGCCTTCTGGAATGACCCCAAATCTCCCGATTACAGTTTCTCCCTTATTCGTCGTTACTGTCACTTAGCGCCATTTCCTTGTCTTTCCCCTTTCTCACCCGACTTTTCTCTTCCCCTTCCCACCCCCCCCCCCCCCCCACCCACTCAGTGTTATCTAGGGTACGCGGATGTATGTTCCCTCTCTTAGTTTGAAAGCACCCCTTTATCTTCGGTGTGTAAAGTCAGTGCGGGCCGGATTTGTGTGTATTACGGGCCGGACTTTGTTGCGTGAAAAGTAACCCTTTATCGGAAATGTTGGGAACACAAAATCGGAGTGGGAGTGAGGTGGGGGGGGGGGGTGTATCTTCTTCTTTTTTCTTTCTCTCTCTCTCTCTCTTCTTTCTTTTCTCTTCTCTTTTCTTTTCTCTTCTCCTTTCTTTTCTCTTCTCCTTTTTTTCTTCTCTTCTCCTTTCTTTTTTTTCTCTTTTTTTTGCGCCGCCAATAGGGGGGGCCGCGGCCGTTTCGGCCCCCCCCCTGGATCCGCCACTGTAGATAGTACGCGCTTTTCAGTCTCAGATGGCTGTAACACCATCACATTAACTCATTTCCAGCTATGGTCATTTTTCTTTGACTTTTAGAACAAGCAAATAACTTCCTTTTGTCAAATGTGCAGTGTCTATATAAACATGATTCACAAAGTGGTATTGCAGTCCAGTGACTTGGTTCTCGGCAGATAATTAAGGCTTGTCTAATAGCATCAGCAGACTTGTTTCAAGATTGTTCCCAGCAAACCGTCCTTTCTCAAACTTCTTTAATAAGCACGTCAACTATTTTTTTATTCCGCTTTTTTGTATCACCCTGATCAACATTGTTCCTCTTTCCTCATCTTGGTGTATATTAGTTTAGGAATGAATCTTCACAAAGCAACGTGCGCTGAGTCAAAGATGCTTTAGGTTCAGATATTATTTCGAATGAGACAAGAGTCAAGATTGTGAAACATCGTGAGATGCAACATGAAATGAAGCGTCGGTTAAGCCATGTGATGAGTTTGTTAGTTATAATACGTGATCATTGAAAAAAGACAATAAAATTACTTTAATGGGGCGGTCTGTGATAGAGAAGGAAATGACAGTGCTTTAATATTGAGCAAACAAGGAACTGTGATACAGTTAGTTTTCAAGAGGAAGGACACTTTAAAGGAAAAGCTCTCGGGAAGAAAAAACACCCATTGATTTAATCAAATAGATTTAATGCTTTAGTTTCTCATAATTTAAAGAAACGATCTTTATGGGTTACTTTAC